ATGGGGTAAATGGGCAAAACTCAACGAGGTGCTGCTTATAAACAACCACCATGAAGTGTGAACACACAGATCAGCTGAAAACGCAAGACAGAGAGATGTTGCAACGCAAACACTCGTCAGGACAGAGCTGAGGCGGCTGTGTCTGTACCAGACGGAACAGACGTCGGGCCGAGGAGTATGTTCGAGAACAAAGAAAGGTACTGCATAAAACCACACAGGGGTCATTTCACCAAGAAGATACAACGCCAAACACGTGTGTACCTAAGACCGGGTTTCAACACACACGAAGGAAAAGCCACCAGAACCAAAGTGAAAAGCAGTCAAACCCACAACGGAGCTGGAGATTTCAATGCCTCCCGCAGAGACTGACAGCATGAGATGGTGACAAATCAGCGGGGACAGGGGGCATCGGGACTTTACCATGGGCCTCGGAGGACCCGCGTGGCCTGGGTTAGGCACAGATCTCTCAGAGGTGACAGCAAAGCGCAATTAGGAAGAGGAACAAAATGATACATTAAACTTCATTAAAATTAAAGAACTTTGCTCTCCCAAAGACACATGCTGGGAAGAAACTATCTGTAAACATTTATCTGATAAAGGACTTGCATCCATTATATATAAGGTGCCTGCAGAGATCAATAATAGGAAAATAACCACCAATTTCAAAAATTGGCAAGGATTTGAAAAGTGTGTTTCATCAGAAAAAGACATGAAATGGCAAGTACACCCGAGAAAGAGTTCTCCTCATCATCGGTTCTGAAGGTGCGAATTAAAACCTCAAAGAAACACTACTATGCACCCGTTAAAATTGCTAAAAAAAAAAAAAAAAATCAAACACCACCACACAGAGGCAACATTCACGGCGCGGAAGGTAAACATTGATGGGAACTCTTTCATCTTGCGGGGACTGCAAAATGCCGGCCGCCCTCTTTGAAAAGAGTTTCAGCATCTGATGGTATTCCGGGCACAGTTACCACCGCTCCGCAGCCTGGGTCCCGGACATTCGCCCCAATGGCAGCCCGCGTGCCCAGGAAAGCCTGCGGTGGATGTTTATAGGAGCTACTTCCATAATTGCCAAAAAGAGGTCCCTCAGCCAGGAAGCGAATAAGCCACGGGTGGGCATCCCCCAGCGGAAGGGCAGGCGGGAGTCATACGTGTTGCAAAGGAGCACACGGCGGCTCTCGAGGGGAACAGGCCAGCGCCGCGCCAAGTCCCAGACAGAAGGGTCAGAAGCTGCACACCACACAACCCCGTTGTGGAATTACGAGAGCGGCCAGACTTCGAGGGCAGAAGAAGTTCACGATGGCCGGGCCGAGGGGAGGAAGAGGTGGCCACGCAGGGGCACGGGGCACGGGGCGGGGCTGGGGGGCGGCGGGAACGTTCCGCAGCTCGGCTGCCCTGGGGCTTGCCTAACTGTGGGCATGTGTCAAAGCTTCCAGCTCTACGCTCAGGGTGACTCTGGCCGTGTGCACCTTACCCCTTAATCAACCTGCCGCTGAAGCGAAGGGGCTGCTGCGAAGGCGTCCTGTCCGTCAGCCTTCCACGCCGCCCCTTAACGCCGCCACGTTCCCTCTCACTCCGAGGAACACACCAGAGACTCGCTTTCATCACCCTTGCTTCTCATGACTGCAGGCGCAGGAAACACCCCCTCACCGCCGCCCCCCGCCCCCCGGCCCGGCTGCAGCCTCCGCTCGCGGAGGCCCTACGGGCGAGCCCGCGGCCAGTTCCGAGTTCCTCCCTGCCCGGCCCCGCGGCCGAGCCGACGTGCCTGTGAGAGGGACTGGGAAGAGCTGGCGGTGGGAAGGGCACACGGGGGAGGGGCGAGGGGACCCGGACACACTCCGATCCCGGCGGCCCGCAGGCTCGGCTTGGGCGTGATGGCGCCACGCGGCCGAGGGCGCCTAAGGCTGGCACAGCGCCCGTGCCCCGAGGGAAGTCATGAACCCGGAGTTTTCTATGGGAATTCTCCCCATTAGGGAAGCCCATTCTTTTTATATTTTTCCCAAGCACTGCGTGGACAGAACAGCGCCTGTCAGCAGGTGGCGGCGTGTCCGAGCAGGGCAGCAGCAGCAGGCACACTGAGGGCGTCCTGAGTCCGGTGACAGAATGGCCTCTGAGAAGCCGCAGGTCCTCGAAGACGCCTGGGGAGCTTCCCGGTGAGGGACAGGAAGGCACGCGTCCCGAGGACGTGCGCCCCAAGTGCAGGAAGGACGAGGTGCAACTGTCCCCATAACCCTTCCCCCATGGGGGGGTGGCATGCGTGTTTGGGGGCCGGAAAGGGCCCGTTGTCCTGACCGACCCCCCCCACTCAGGAACCCGCCACACGCCCGGTTCCCCAGTCAGAAACCCTAGATCCCCAGCGCTCGGACAACCCATAGGTTGCCTTGCTTCTCAGGCACTGGGTGGCCAGCGCTGATCCAAATTGAAATGAGACTATTTTGGGTCTTCATGCTCCTTTATGTGAATACACATATGTTTCATGCAAGATTCCAGTGGCACGACCCCAACCAGTGTGCGGGTGTCACACACGTGTGTCCCCGTGCCCCTGCCTACCCCCATCTCGCCATTCAAAGATCTCGATAATTCCGATCTCCAAATGTATCTGGACCCCCAGATCTCAGAAAAGAGGTCGTGGCCCTGAGCGACCTTCCCAGGGGTCCCCTGTGTGACGGGCATCTGTCGCGACACCTCTGCAGGCCCCTCTGCTCTGCCCGGGCGGGCGCTCAGCTGCGGACTCGGGGAAACTTGGCCATGCCCACGGTGCCCGCCGCGCCCCTCCTCACTCTGAGGAAGCCCCCCAGCCTATTTAGGAACTTCCCCAGAACCGTGACGATTCCAAACCTGGTGAATTACACAGGCTCTCAATCCACAGTCGAAAATAGACAGTTGGTATTAAAAATTGATGAGCGGTTTCAAGGATTCCAGAAATTAGCACTTAAATCCTTGGGCTGGAAGGGTCAGAGAGGATTGCTTTTCTTTCTGCCTTTTTTTTTTTTTTTTAACAACAGCGCACCCTTAAACAAGGGTCAGAGAGCTCTGCTTCCACCGCCGCCAACATTTCGTCAGTGGGAGAGTCAGAGGGAGGTGAACTGTGGCTTCTGAAACAAAATGAAAAACACTTTGCAGTTCCAGCTGCAGACTAGCAGGTCCCGAAACCACGTGGTGGGAATTGCCAGGCCAAAGCAAGGAGAGAACCCCCGCATCAAGGTGGGGGGCGGCTGCAGGGTCAGGGTGAGGCTTCCCTGTGCCCGTTATTTCTGGGGCCCCCAACTCTTGCTTTATAAATACCACCCTCCAAACAAAATCTCCAGCTTCACTTTCTAACCAAACTGCTACGCTTGGGCCCCCCTACCTGGGCGGCTGTATCAGAGGCTACTCTGAATCAAAAGTAAAATCCCGTAGATGAGGGGGCAGAAGGGAATGTGAGCTTTAATTTTAAAAAGTCCAAAACCTCCTTTAAAAAGCACCTTCAGCACTGAGAGTTCCCTTTGATTAAGCCCCTCCCAGAGGCGGGGGGGGGGCGGGGAGGAGGGTCCCCTCCTCCCCGCCCCCCGCAGGCTGCCACCCTGCTCAGGGTCAATGGGCCGCCTGTGCCTCCACCAAGCGCTTTCCTTCCATTAATTAGTCCTTTATCGTCAAAAAACCGCTGGGAAGTATTTGGGGGGCGGGCTTTGTTTTTGAATGGCCACTTCGCATCTGGGGAAACGGAGTCCCAGGAACAGCGGCAGGCACAGCTAACAGCAGAGCGCAGGCCCCGGATTCCGGACAGGGCTGCCCTTCCAAACAGAGGACAGAAGTGGCCCCGTCCCTCCGCACACGCACGCACGCACCTGTTCGCCTGCCGCTCTGGGGAGAAAGGCGCCCCGCTTAAAGGAGCAATTCCGCCCGGCTGGTGTGTGTCTGAGAAGCAGGAGCTTCAAGGAAGGGGATTTCTCGGGAACTGAAGGCGATGCGCAATGACTTCAGAAAAGCAAACGCTACTTGGAGCCTCCTGGGGCAGCTTGTCCCTCTCAAGCTTCCCGGCGTCTTTCCAGCCCGGATGCTGAGCTCTGGGAGGCAGAGGCCGCGGCTCTCGCCGGGGGCGCAGGAGAGGCACCTGGGGGTCCCGGAGGGGCACGAGCGCAGGGCGGGAGCGGGCCGCAGCGGCAGGTGGCGCCCTCATGGGTCTCCCGCGCAGACCCCGCTCCCTGCCGCGCGCGCCGCCCACCTCCGCGCCCGCGGCCCCGCGCTCGCTGCTCCCGCCTCGGGGCCACCGCGCCCGCCACCGCGGCCCTGGGGCCGCCCGGGCCGCAAGCACAGAATAATACCTGACCGAACAACAGCAACGGCGGCCTCTGTGGGTTCCCTGCGCGCCGCGCTTTCGCTGACGGAGTCTCCTTGGCGAGAGACGCGCTGGGCATTCCCATTGCAGAGATGAGGAGACTGAGGGGAGGGACCCGGGATGGGGCCGGGGCCGGGGCCGGGAAGCCAGCCTGGGTCCCACACGCGCCCCCGCCCTCCCAAACTCGGGGTGCCGAGGGGTCCACGTCCTGCCAAGCCGAGGGTCCCGAGCGCTGTGCGTTGAGCGCGCGTCCCTCCGCGGGCCGAGGTGGGTTCCTGGGCCCCCCGGGCTGGGGAGGGGATGCCAGGGCCCGTTGGGCCCTCCTAGAGCGCCTGTCCCCGCAGACTGGGCTGGGGCGCGGAGGCAGGGGCAAGGCAGCCGGGTCCCCGCGGCTGAGCACCAGGTCCACAGCAGGACTGCGCTGGGTTCAGTCCTCGCCGAGCTAAGGGGGGCCCAAACACAGTCCGCCAGCCACACACACACACACCCGCCCTCGGGAAGCTTCCGAATCTGCCCCAAACCCACGTCCACGGCGCGCAGCTGGGGAAAGGGCCGCCCGGCGCTGCCACAGGCGTTACTGGTGGGACCGGACCAGCGCCCTCGCCAAGGTCCTCACGACATCCCGCCTTTCGGTTCCCCCCGCCCAGGCTCCTGGGATCGACGCTCGCCGCGGCCTTACCTTTGCCCAGCAGCGCGCCCAGCACCAGGCTCAGTGCCCCGCACAGCGGCGCCGCCGGCCCGGGGGCCGCGCCGTCGAAGCGCATCCTGCGTCTTGCAGCTCAGGCCGCCCGCCGCCCGCCTGGGGCGCAGCGCCGGTCAGCCGTCTCCGCCGCCTGTTCCATATCCCGGGGCGACCCCCGGCAGCAAGTCGGCCGGCGCGGTGCGGCTCGGGTGGCGGCGCCCCGCCCTGCCGGGTGCTCGCCGCGGCGGCTCCGGATCCCGCGGCAGCGCGCGCTCTGGCCGGGACAACTTTTCTCCAGCCGCCGCCGCAGCTGCGGCCGCCCCGCCCCCGGCCCGCCCCCAGTCGGCCCCGCCCCCGAGCCCGCCCCGGCCATCGCAGGCCCCGCCCCCGGCCTCGGCCCGGGGCCCTTTGCGGCTGCGGAGGAGAAAGCGCGCCCCCAGGCCGGGAGCCGCGGGGTACAGCCTCCCTTCGGGCTTGGGCCGCAGAGGCGCGGGAAAGCAGACGCGGAGGGGAGGGTCGCGGGCCGCACCCCCGGGGCCGCCCAGCTGTTTGCAGCCTCCCGCCTCCGCGGCCCGGCAATCTCTGCGCAGGTGCCCAAGATGGAGCGGGACCCTTCCCCTCCCGCCCTCTGGCGGTCATCCCTCCCTCCCCGCGCCTTAACTTCGGGTCGTCCCCTGGTTCTTTTTACCTTGAGAGCTGGGAACGTGGCATTAAGGAGTCCGGACAGCGGCTACGGAAAGATCTCCTGGGTGGGAAAGCGACGCGCAGAGTCGCGCCAAGCGGGGCAGGGGCCCCGGCCGTGGGCCCGCCAAACTCCGCCGTGCCTGGCAGCCCCTCTGCGTCCCGGGCTCTTGAGGAACAGGGTTGAGCGGCCCAGCTCTCACCAGGGCCGGCTCCGTCGCCCTTCAGAAAAGAAGCCCAGCTGTGTCATGTGTCATCATCGTTCCTGGTCACTGGGAACCCCGAAAGAATTTCAAGTAATAGGGAAAAAAATGATTAGAAACAACAGTGAAAGCATCTGAGCCGCTGCAAACCCATTTCTCCTGCCGCACCTCAGTTAAGGGGGAGCCTTGGGGGAGGGGCGATGAAGGCCTTGAGGGCTGGAGTGGGACTCCCTCTCTGCCTGCCTGAGGCGGGGAGAAGGCAGCTGGGGACACCAGCCAGGCCGCAGGGCAGCGGTGAGAGCAGGCGCGCACAGGCCCCGGAGGTGAGCTGCGCTGACCGCTGCCCATCCTCCAGTTCTTCCCCAGCACGGACGCTGGGAAGCCGCCCTAAAGGAGACCCGAGCTCCGAAAATGGAAGGCACATTCGCTTCTCGTTCTATTTGTTAGCCTGAAAGTCATTGGAGAGTAAATATTTCCCATGTAAATGTTTCTAGCCTCAGCGAGAAAGGCAACATAGCTCTTCTCCCCGGCGGAGGGGGCGGGGTCAGCCTCACCCTCTCTGCCTCCTGTGCGCTCACTGGAACCAAAATGCACGAACATGCCCCCCACTCCCCTGCTGTTCTCCCTTGTAGGTTCATAATTTGCCGCCCCCCCCCCCACAATAGTTCCTTTCCATTTGGTACAAAATATTGCCCTCTCTACTGAAAAACCAAAGGCAGGTCCGTGGTTCAAATAATCGAAAAGAGGGAAACAGAGAACCACTGTGAAATATGTAACCACTGAACAGGAGAAGAAAAAAAGGAGAGGATGCAGCCGGGTAAGCGCGCTTCTCAGTGGCTGCTGTTCTTGGTGCTGGGGTCTCAGACGCCCTTCCCGACTGGACCACGGGCAACCCAGGGAGTGGCCGCTTCTGTCCTGCCCACCTCGCTTCCGGAGCCCATTCCATCCCCCACATGACCCTCTAAAAATCAGGAAAAAACCGCTCACCAAACCAAACCCATAAAGGGTGATGTGGTCGGTTGATCTTTTTAAAGGAAAACCTACAAAAATAGAGGTGTGAACGTGGAGGTTCACGGGCTAACTGTTTCCTGTATTTATTTTTTTAAAGGCATGTATTATTTAACCCCAAAACATTAATTCCTTAACTTAAATTACTTCCAGATGCTTCTCTGCGTTTCATAACGAACATCAGAGGCCGCTAATCTCCTCAAAGGCTCCTGCAGACCCCCTGTGGGCGGCGGGCACATGGAGGCAATTAGGGTGATTTATAGGATAGCTGGGTTATTGGAAAGAGGAAACCGGCTGTTCCACATGTGCCCGGGGCTCCGACATCTGAGAGGCAACTTCAAAATTCTTTGTGTTTGCACTTACGTTCCTAGTTCTAACTATTGCCCAGCACGAGGGATGCGAGCTGAGACTTTTGGCTCAGGAACTTCTCACGAGATCCACCTCTAGACGGGGCACCTACAGGCCGACGCCACTGAGAGCAGGGAAAACGAGGGCTACGCGTTGGCCTCATCAGGCAGCTATGGTCGTGTTGCGGGTTAATGTTCGGGTCGCTGCTAGAGATAAGGAAAAGGAAGAGAAGGAGGGAGGAAGACAGGTGTGTGCTAACCCTCCACGTCAGCATTTCTCTTAATACATCTCGAGACGCCATCTCATTCAATCCTCACAAAAACACCGGGGCGGGGGGGCCTGCTATGGTCCTCGGACGTTTCTATTCACTCATTCAACCATCATTCGTCCCCTGCTTACCGTTCACCAGGCCCGACGTGGGTTCCAGCAGAGAACAAAACAGACAAGGGCCCTGCATGGGCAGGTCTCACGTTCGGGAGACAGACGAAGGAACAGCTCATTGCACCCTGTCAGAATAAACGTGAAACAGAATATGGGGGTCTGTGTTACGCGGACAGCTCCCGGGGGGGCGGATGCGGTGGGTGAGCAGGCTGGCGGGCTTCTGGGGGAGCAGCGTCACAGGCTGAGAAGCCGGAATGGCAGAGGTCAAAAGGTGAAGGAGCAAAGACCTCTGGTTTTCTTCCCTCAGGATCTCTGGCCTCCTGGAGAACTCGGCCTGTAGGGGGCAGCAGAGGAAGCGGGGGTCCAATCGGGCGCCGAGGGAAGGCGATCTGGGTGCTGGGGGCCTGGACTCCCCAGGCAGGAGCAGCTCCTGAAGGGTTTCTGCGCTCGCTGTCCCTTCCGTGGGGGAGGGTGACTGACCCCCTGCCCCGGGTGCCCCCACCACGAGCACAGGCACCGAGAACACGCACACCTATCGGGTGAATAACTCGTGAAGCCGTGACTCACCAGCCCCATTTTACTAACGAGGACACTGAGTCACACATTTTACGGTCAGCTCCCAGAGCCGGTACTCGTCACAGTCACGATGAGGAGACTAATGATGGCAGCAGGGACAATGACACTTACCAGGGGCTTGCTTATGGCCAAATAATTCTGTGAACAGCTCTGCCCTGGGGGTCCCCTTTTACAGACAAGGAGCCCGATGTCAGGGGGTGAAGCGGCCTGTTCAGAGTCCCCGGCGAGGCGGAGGGAAAACCCGGAACCCAGGCCGCCGGTAACCTCTCCTCCGACCTGCGAGCCCGGCTTGGCCGCTCCCCGCCCCGGCGCCTGGGGAGCCGGAGTTCGGGAGGCCTCACGTGCTAGGCCTTCCTGCTTTGAACAAACACTGAAACAGCACTGCCGTGTGACCTCCGGGGAAGCCCGCGGGCGGACCTCCAAGGCCGTGGGCTGCGCAGGTGACTGTGCCTGAACTCAGCCTCCGCGGGCGAGCTTCCCCTGGAGGGAGCGCGGGCCCAGTGTCCCCAGGTGAGATGCAACCAGCAGGTGACACTTGCCTGGGGCGATGGCTTTTAAGACCGAGGCTGAAAGGCCTGCAGTGAGGTCTCCCACCCGGTGCCTGCGATGTCCCCGGACTCCCATCCTTCCAGCGGAGACCTGCGCAGTGGGTTTTCACCCACACCCCTCCACTCAGGCTCCGAGGTCAGGAAACGGCCCACGTAGTACAAGAACTGAGCTAGGAGAACTGGAGGTTGGGCCCCAAAAGGGGGTCATCACGCTGATGTTTTCTCAGTTGTATGCACTGCATCATCATCACGGTCCTCACCGTCGCCGTGACCAGGGATGGAACCCACAACCTTGGCCTATCGGGATGACGCTCTAACCAACGGACCACCCGGCCGGGCCTTAACCTACCTTTCCAAGCCCCTGCTGGCCGACTGTGATCAGCACCCAGGCCGCGGCGCGGCGTGTGAGTCCTCACAGATTCGTCCGTTTCTGGGGAGGAGGGACATGCAACTTTTACGTGGAACTGCTTGTTTTCGACCACGCTTCTCAGGCCCAGCCGAGCCTGGGAACTAGAGTTTTGCAGCTAGACTCTCTCTCTGCTCGTTTCAAACCTCTCTGATGGGCCGTTAAGGAAAAGATTGAGCTTCCGACGGAAAACTGCCAAAGCTCTGTTGTTTTGCCACTTGGAACAATGCAGCGCCAGTTCTATTAATTTATGTGGGAACCAGCTCTGCTCCCCAAGCCACCGGCAGCCTGTACATGGTTATAGGGTAAACAGTGTCCCCTGGTGGCGTCGAGCGGCATTTCCTGCGGCCCCAGGGAAATGAGCTCAGATGTCTGGGTGTAAGCAAAGCGCAGACCCCTCTTAAGCATGAGGTTACCTTCAGCTGCTTTTCACGCTGAGGGGTGTCTGTCTCCTCACGGGGCAGCGGGGGTCGCTCCTGGCCCCGGGGAAAGAGTGTGGTACTTTCTGGGGGCCCACCTTTGATGGGGTTCCAAGTAGGTACTGTTTCCAGGTCACCTTCATGGAGCTCAGGAGGCCGACATGGGATCTTTCTGGAGAGTTCTGAGATTAAGGCTCCGGCCAGGGCCGGGGCTGGGGGCGTCAGGAACGAGGCCGGAGGGAGCGGGAGGAGGGAGCGCAATTCTCCCCGCCCCCACACTTGAAAGGCACTGAGGACGCATCTCTCTGGCTGCCTGTGTATTTATGGATGGGGCTCATGTGCCGCTGTGAGTCAGGGCTCAGCGCGGGAAGCAGAGGCACTCAGAGCAGGGGGTGAACTTAGGAATGAGGCCTCTGGCATGGGGGGCGGGGGGAAGGGCTGTAGACAAATAAAACTCCAGAAGGGGGAGTTGGAGGATAAGCAAACATCACCAGGCGGTTCCGGGAAGCAAG